GGGACTCGATCCAGGGACTCCAGGATCATGACCTGAGCCGAAGGCAGTCGCTTAACCAACTGAGCCACCCAGGCGCCCCTATAACATTATTTCATTACTGTTTTTTCCAAACATTAAATTATTTTAGGTATTTGTTTTTTAAGGTTCTGTATATTCTATTATTGCTTATCTATTTTTCATATTCTTAGACAAAATTTTACTTATTTCTAATTTTTATGCAGTTAAAGCATATTTATATGAATTATTTTTCTTGAAGTCATTTTTTAAGGATATAATTCCTAATATTAGATTAGCCAACTGAAGATATGACCAAGTAACTTTGACATATTATTAGTTTATTTCCATAAGGGTTGAAATAACTTAGATATATCCCATAAACCATGTTAGTTTGGTATTTTAAGGAGAATGTTCTATGCCTTAATAATATTTAAGTTATAATTTTAAAATATTACTTGCAAAAGTATGTCTGTGTGTGTATAAGGCATAAATATTGACCTAAAAAAAAAAGAAAGAAAAATGTATCTGATTTTATCTGTTTGAGTTCTGTCTTCATTTTGCTTTTAGGTTTTGCATATTTTCTCTCTCAAATACGACCAAACATCACAAACTCTAAAGTAAATATAACAAACCTGAGTCCTTTAGTTCACACCCTCTCTGGAGGACAAGGATTCTGAGTTAACACCCTTGTTTATACTTCTGTGCTGCTTCTGCACACACACACACACACACACGCTATCCATGAGTACATATAACACAGGTAATTGCAGTCTGGTTTTGAGGCTTATTCCAAGTGTGAAGGTTTTCAAGTGAAAGTGGAATATAAAAATTTTCACTCTCCAGCCTCATCAATGAGAAGTAGTAAACTGGCCTGATCATGTGACTCAGAATTGTGTGGGCTGAGAGAGTAGTAAATTAGTGCAGGGTTGGCATTTTGTATGTGGGCACTATCTAATCCCAGCTCTTCAGACTCTACCTGAGGTTTTTGAGCAAGTCTTTATTCATCTCTTTGCTTTATTAGCCATCCTTTTACCCTTGAAATAAGTGGAAGAAAGAAAGAGACTGTTTTTCTTGTCATTCCAGTGGAGAAATGAGGAAAAAGTCATTTTTTCCAATTTAAATAATCCTTTAAAGCAACTTGGTTAAGAACTGCATGAAAGGTTTCAAGCTATTCTGGAAATTAGGACATCATTTCATCTCTCTTACCCTTCCTTGACTCTTCAGTTTACCTCCCTACCCCCAACATATATAAGTAAGTACTCCATGGGGGTAGAGTAAAAAGTGCAGAGAGTTTGTGTTCAAAAGGTTTTAATTTCTTGCTGCATAAGACTTGTCTTTATATTCCTTAATTCTGTAAATATTATTAAATAATATTAGATAATTAAATTAAATCACTTCATATATTTTCCTAGGTGGTGGGGATACAACAGTAATAAAAAATTCTTGCTATTACTGTGCTTACATTTTAGTTAGAGGAAAGACAGACAACAAACAAGTAAATAAATATGGTGATATATGCTTTGAAGAATATGAAACAGTATAATAGTGAATGTAGGTATTACTTTAGATTGGCCAGCAAAGGAAAGCCTCTCTAAGGAGGTAACATTTGAGCTGAGACCTAGGCCTGAATGACAGCCATGTAAAAATCTAGGGAAAGGGAAAAGCTATGTAAAGACCCTAAAGTAAAAGTGACCTTGGCATTTAAAAGAACAGAAAGAGACTCGCCTGACTGGAAGCTAGTAAGTGAATAAATAGTTGGCAGGGTCTAGATCATGTAAAATCTTGTAATACATAGTAACTATTTTGATTTTATTCTATGTGAAAGAGGAAACCATCAGAGAGCATTAATCAGGGGCACAATAGGATCTTATTTATTACTAGAAGGTAATACTATTACTAGTATCTAGTACATGAGCAAGTGCCTCATGTAGTGCAAAAGTTTAGTACTGGGAGAGAAAACTTGGATGCTTATTCAATAAGGAGACTTGGGTAAGCCCTTTCACCCAGGTGAACTTTTTTACTCTTCTATAAAGAAGAGGATGAGAAAACTTGCATATCTTTTAGTTTGTTTTTTTTTTTAATTTCAAGTTTTTATTTAAGTTCTAGTTAGTTAACACATATGGTAAAATTGGTTTCAGGTGTAGAATTTAGTGATTCATCACTTACATATAACACCCAGTGCTCATCGATAACAAGTGTCCTGCTTAATACCCATGATACATTTAGCCCATCCCCCCACTCCATCAACCCTCAGTTTATTCTGTATAGTTGAATCTCTTATGGTTTGCTTCTCTCTCTCTCTCTCTTTTTTGCTTCCCCTATGTCCATCTGTTTTGTGTCTTAAATTCCACATATGAGTGAAATCATATAGTATTTGTCTTTCTCTGACTGACTTATTTTGATTAGCATAATACCATCTAGTTCCATCCACATCCTTGCAAATGGCAAGACTTCATTCTTTTTTTTTTTTTAAAGATTTTATTTATTTGACAGAGAGAGCACAAGCAGAGGGAGAGAGAGGGAGAAGCAGGTTCCCTGCTGAGCAAGGAGCCCGATGTGGGACTCGATCCCAGGACCCTGGGATCATGACCTGGGCCGAAGGCAGCCACTTAACCGACTGAGCCACCCAGGCGTCCCGACTTCATTCTTTTTTGATGGCTGAGTAATAGTCCATTGTATATATACACCACATCTTTATCCATTCATCAGCCGATGGACATTTGGGCTCTTTCCATAATTTAGCTATTGTTGATAATGCTGCTATAAACATTGGGGTGTAGGTGCCCCTTTGAATCAGATTTTTTATCTTTTGGGTAGATACCCAGTAGTGCAATTGCTTGGGAATAGGGTAGTACTGTTTTTAACTTTTTGAAGAACCTCCATGCTGTTTCCCAGAGTGGCTACACCAGTTTGCATTCCCACCAACAGTGTAAGAGGGTTCCTTATTCTCCACATCCTTGCCAACATCTGTTGTTTCCCATGTTGTTAATTTTGGCCATTTGACCAGTGTGAAGTGGTATCTCATCGTGGTTTTGATTTGTATTTCCCTGGTGATGAGTGATGTTGAACATCTTTTCATGTGTCAGCCATCTGAATGTTCTCTTTGGAAAAATGTCTGTTCATGTTGTCTGCCCATTTCTTAATTGGATTATTTGTTTTTTGGGTGTTAAGTTTGATAAGTTCTTTATAGCTTTTGGATACTATTTATCAGATATGTCATTTGCAAATATCTTCTCCCATTACATAGATTGTCATTTAGTTTTATTGATTGTTTCCTTCACTGTGCAGAAGGTTTTTATCCTGATGAAGACCCAATAGTTCATTTTTGCCTTTGTTTCTCTTGCTTCTGGAGATGTGTCTAGTAAGAAGTTGCTACAGCTGAGGTCAAAGAGGTTGCTGCCTGTGTTCTTCTCTAGGATTTTGATGGTTTTCTGTTTCACATTTATGTCTTTCTTCCATTTTGAATTTGTTTTTGTGTATGGAGTAGGAAAGTGGTCCAGTCTCATTCTTCTGCATGTTGCTGTACAGTTTTCCCAGTACCATTTGTCAGACTGTCTTTTTTCCATTGGATATTCTTTCCTGCTTTGTCAAAGATTAGTTGACCATACAGTTGTGCATCCATTTCTGGGATCTCTGTTCTGTTCCATTGATCTATGTGTCTGTTTTTGTGCCAGTACCATACTCTTAATGGCTACAGATTTGTAATATAGCTTGAAGTCTGGAATTGCGATGCTTCCAGATTTGCTTTTCTTTTTCAAGATTGCTTTGGCTATTTGGGGTTTTTTGTGGTTCCATACAAATTTTAGGATTGTTTGTTCTAGCTCAGTGAAAATGCTGGTGGTATTTTGATAGGGATTGCATTGAATGTGTAGATTGCTTTGGGTAGCA